AGACAAAATATCACATCTAATTATAATCATTTTATTTTTTCTCTCACAAAAGTCAAAAAAATCAAAAAGCTTACCTCAAACGAGATTTTTTAGTCCCAAACTAAAATAGTCAAAAAGTCAACCCATATCCCAAACAAATCTTGACTGTGGCATTTTGTCGGTGTTTTGAAAGTTGCTATTTTAGTAGGCTATTTTAGTTTTTTTACTATTTTAGTAGGTTAAAATTTTTATATTTGGGAAGATAGTTAAATTTTTTTATGGAAAATGCTAGAGACCACTAAAAGTGGTGCTCTAAAGCAACCACTAATGATGTGGCATCTATTTTTTTTAAAAAAAAAATACAGACACAACAACATTGTGACAGTGGGTGGGATCCACTGCCACATCATTAGTGGTGGCACTAATTAGTGCTCCCACTTATTTTTCTTTTTTTATAGTTAGATGTGATGTTTGTGAGAGAAAAAGTGAAATGATTATGGATTTAATATTGACTATTTTAACCTATTTTGTCTTTTTGTAAATTTTTGTCCAAAAAGTTAAAAAATATCCTTTGTCAAACACTCCTAAAATAACCTATTTTATTTTATATAACTATTTTATCCCCAAAGGGCATGCCAATCGAACCCTTATTGATTTATTTGAGTCACACCAAATTTCTATTATTTTTATACGTGTTTTTGTAATAAGAAAAAAAAAATTACGTATAAATTATACTCAAAACAAACTTTACTGTTGTACAAATAGAACTTATATAATTTTAAGAATTCATATAAAAAGTAAAAAAGAATTTAATGAAAATTTTAAATGATGTATAATGGATTGAGATCATATCCATCAATAAAATAGAGATCTCTGCTCCATAATCAATGGTCGGAAAAAATTGATGTTGATATTTTAAATTAAGAAATCATTAAAAAAAAAGTTCAAAAATTATATTATTGATTTTAAATTTTGATGATGTGCCCCAAACCTATCAAATGAAATGGAGATCTCCATCACCTTTTTAGGAGATTTTTTTTGTATTAAATAATCACTAATTCCAAAATATTTAGGACAAAAAATATTTATAGGTAATTTATACACTAGATTTTGTTGGACAATCTTACTGTATTTAAAAGATTTAATTCTATTGTATACACAACAACAATTAGAATTTAAAGAAATAAAGAAAATAAGAGAATTTATTTGATTACAAAAATCAAACTCGAAATAAAAATAAATAAATAAAAACAGATTTTATTTTGTTACAAAAACAAAATTTAAATCTGATTTTAATAAATAAAGCAACACTGAAAATAAATTAAATAATTTACTTGATTTAATTTGTTCGAATTATTTTCTGATCAAGTCCAGTGTTTGACACTGTGTCCTTAAGACAGATTCGTCCTCTCCACGGTGCTTTCAGGATTTGGACGTCTATCTCCCAGGATGAAATGATCTTACCACAAACAATAGCAGCACTACAAATTGTTTGCCTTACGAACACACTAAGTGTTTACACTCTTTATTTCAGAAATAAAATGCAGCAATATGAAGAATATAAATAGCAGAGGTGAAATATGAAATTTCTGTTGAATTGAACAGGTATCATACCTGTTGGGTTTTGAATTCAAACAGATTTGAATTAATTCAAACAGATAGTAAAACGGGAAGGGCCCTGTTTGGGTGTGCACTAATTCCAAACTAGTTTATTTCTGTTTGAAAACGGGAAGGGCCCTGTTTGGATGTACAGAAAATCAAAATCAGTTTAATTTGAATTCTGGATTTTATTTTATCAAAAAATAAAATAAAATTCAAATGTTTTTGGCCCAAAAAGATTAGAAGCCCAACCCAACCACACACCACGCACCCGCGCCTAGCCCGGACGGACGGCGGCGGCGCGCGCGTGTATGGTGATTTTTGGGTCCAATGGGTCTAGCCCATTTGCCTATAACCTCTCCCTCTAAAACACTTGGGTACCCATTGGGGCACACCCTAAGTATCTAACCCAAGTCTTATAAACCCTTTCAAAACTTCCCACCAAATCAATGTGGGACAAGCCAATTTACAACCTTAAGAAATTTCCACCAAAACTCCATTTCCATGGAGCACACTTTGGCTTCAATTTCCCATTCACTCGGTAATGGTTTTGAGCAATCAAATATACCACGTGAATCACAACGTGGCATAGAACGCGTTACCACTTTGACCCGAGTAAATCGACACTCGGGGCTCACCTAAAAACTAGACCAAACTTGAGAAAAAAAATTTTCTACCATTTCCAACAGATTTTACGAATGAATATTGTATTTGTACATTTATAAGTAATTTATATGCTAGATTTTACATTTATAAGTAATTTATACACCAAATTTTACGAATCAATAATAATCACAAACATTTATAAATATATATAAAAAGGAGGAAGTAAAAAAAAAAAAATAATAAAAAATTGCAAACTCGTGAAAAGATAAGTAAATATAAGTAATTTATACACTAGATTTTACCAATGAATATTGTATTTTTATAAATTTGTAATTATTTCCTTAGTTACAATGTTCTTTTGGGATAAGGGGTCACTGCTGTGCTCAAAACAAAACAGTGATTGTGGTGCTTCCGTTTAAGGTGTATTATGGTCTTATTTTTATGATCCAAACCATTGTTTTGTAGGATTTGTTAAGTACTTCATGCCTATAAAAAATCATATTAATCGGATATCAACAACTATATGATCGATAACCAAATAAATAAATAATAAGTTTTTCTTTTGAGAAATAGCATAAACAATATGCAATTTAATCATATAGTTATTGATACTTGATTAACAACACTTTTGATAACATGAAGTACTCAACAAACCCTACAAAATGAACGGTTTAGATCATAAAAATAATGCCATAATACACCTCAAATTGAGACACCACAGTCACTGCTGTGCTTTGAGCACAGCGGGGACACTGTTCCGTTTTTTTGATATTTTTCCAAACATTTACCAAATTTAAATCACATATTAACATTTTAAAACAAAAATATAATTGTATAGTAGTATTATTGTTAAATAATTTTGTTTTCGAAAATAATTATTTTAGTTGATTTTTAAATTTTTTTATAAAAGGCATACATAAAAAAAATTATAATAATTTTTTGACTTTTTTCATTAAGGTTTATTTTGTCTTGTTTTGAGAAGTAATAAAAAATTAATTTATTAACTTTTTTTAATTATTTTTTGAAAAAATATACTCTCTCTATCTCAAAATATTAGTTTCTTATTTTATTTTTTATTGTCTCAAAATATTTGTCCTTTTTAAAAAATTAAGGACTAAAATAATATAAATTTTCTATTTTGCCCTTCTTTTAAATTTATTAACAACACAAAAAGTTCAATTATAACAATTGATATTTCAAAAAAATATGCTATCAAAAGGTAATTTTTTAAAATCATTATTTTTAAAATGTAATAATTATATTACTAAAAAAAATTAAATTTCCTCCAAAAAACTATTATTTTAAGATAAAAAAATATTAAAAAATAAATAAACGATATGACTTAAATAAGGTCAAATTTGACATGTACCCAAAAAGTAAAAAAGTCAAAAAATTACTCAAAAAGTTAAAAAATTATCACTATTCAACAAAAGTCAAAAAGTACGACTGCACAACTCCTAATCCTAATTTTCCACTATATATTAATTTATACAAATTTTTAATACACATTTTTTCATAAAAAGTCAAAAAATTAGCCCAAACAATTATATTTTTTTCCTCAACTTTTTAATCTAAAAATTCAAAAAATACACTTATTTAAAACATCCCAAACAACCCCTAAATTAATACACAACTTTTTCCCCTCTCAACACATAAAAAAAAAAAAAATTTATTGATTCATTAATTCACATCACTTTTTTAATTTTTCTTACGGTACTTGGGAAATTTTGAAAAAATAATTAAAAAATAATTTTTTAATTTTTTTGATTTTTTTACCTAAATGATGATGTAATTTAAAATAAGTTAAAAATTGTCTTTTAATTTTTTTTGGGTTTAAATGGTCCTTTTATGTAAAAAATAAAACGTTAAACCCTAAAATAAGGCACCGTTTGGGAAGTGATTTTATGGGTTTTTTTTTTGACTATTTTAGTTACAAAAAATAAAATAGATTATTTTAGTCACAACAAACAAAACATCACATACAATCCATAATCATTACACTATTTTCTCACAAAAAAAGTCAAAAAAATCAAAAAGTCAAAAAATTCTTCCCAAACTAAGTTTTTTAGCTCAGGCTAAAATAACGAAAAAAGCCAAAAAATCAACCAACTTCCCAAACCAATCCTAAGAAATTCCCAAATTGCATGAGGTGTTATTTGGCAAGTTGATTTGTAGCTAAAATAATCACAAAAGACAAAATAAACTATTTTAATCACAAAAAATAAAACATCACATTTAATTCATAATTACTATATTATTTTCTCAAAAAAAAAAAAAATTAAAAATCATTCTCAAATAAATTTTTTTAGCTCAGATTAAAATAAATAAAAAAATATAAAAGTCAATCCATTTTGCAAACTGAGGCTGAGTTCGACCGGCGAAATCACAGCGCAGAATTTGGAATCAACGTTGAGCGAGATCTAGGGCTTAGGGTTTACGTATAAATAGCAACTACTTTATTTTTTAACCAGAGATGACGACGACGGTACTCCCTCAAATTGGACTCAAAATTGAATCCCAGGCCCCACCACCACCACCACCACCACCTCGCTCCCTCTAAAAACTCTCTCTCTCTCTCTCTCTGTGTGTGCAAACGCAAAGTCACAAACTACTACCTGCACTGCACATATCATCTGTCTTTGGCAGATCAAACACTCCACGTCTCCTCAGAAAAAAAGCATAAGCATCTAGATATATATATATATATATATGCATTTATGGTTCCTGAATCCTGCTGATATAATCACCACATCTCCTTCATTTCTTCATCCTTGTTCATGCTCTGTTTAATCCATATATAATACTTCGTAGCTCTGAGCATCTTCATCACTGCCTCTCTCTCTCATTAATGGCTCACGAAGTGCTTCCCTAATTATAGGGGCCAATCACTTCACCTCGGGAGCAATCATCCTCTCAATTCGTTTACAGATTGAAATTGCTGAGAGGAAAAAAAAGAGGATCAGATCTGTTGTTGTTGTTGTTGTTGTGATTACGGAGTTGATCGAGGTTGAGAGATGGGGAATTGTCAGGCGGCGGAGGCAGCGACGGTGGTGATTCAACATCCAGGCAACAAAATCGACAGGATTTACTGGTCGGTGAGTGCTAACGAGGTCATGTCGGCGAACCCCGGTCACTACGTCGCACTCGTCGTAACCTCTCCGATTTCCAAGTCCGAAAACGGAACGCCGGTGAAGCAGCTCAAGCTTCTCCGCCCCGATGATACATTGCTTATCGGACAAGTTTATCGGCTCATCAGCTTCGAAGGTAACAAACCATCTCTTACGTCATTTCTTCTTCATTTCCTATTTTGTCCATTGTGCTCTCTGTTTAATTTACATGATGTACCGTGCTTCAGATGTGTTGAAGGAGTTCGCTGCAAAGAAGTGCGTGAAACTCGGGAAGCTGTTGCAGAGAGGAGGCCTTGGCCTGGAGAGAAAGAAGCTCTCCGGCAGTCCGAGCTTGAACCGGAATCCGAAACCAGAGAGCTGCCCTTCCGTTCAGGTAAACCGACTTTTTTTTCCTCATAAATTTTTATACCCATAGTTTTAATTTGATCAATTTCTACTTTTTTTTTTTTTTTTAAGGTAAGATTTTGCACCAATTTGACAGATTTTGAACAAATTTGACTAAATTGATAATATTGTTAAAGTTTTAGAAGAAAATTTTTATTAAAATTGTTGGGATTAAAGTCATTTATAATTTTATTTATAAAAATATGATATATGTGCATTTATTATATAAAAAATTTTATTAATAATTGAAAATAATAGGGCCAAGATTAATTAAAAAATTTAACATCAAAATTAAAATTGTAATACTCCTTCACTCCAAAATATTAGTTCTTTATTTTATTTTTCATTATTTAAAAACTATTTCTTTTTTTATTATCTTAAAATATTAGTTTTTTTTTTAAATCAAAGTACAAAAATAATATAAATTTCTTATTTTATTCTTATTTTAAATTCATTAATAATGAAAAAAATATAATTATTACATTGATATTTTTCAAAACAAATATATTATCAAAAGGTAATTTTAAAAAATTAATTTTTTAAAAATATAATATTTGTATTATTAAAAAAAATTAAATTCCTCAAAATGAGCTATTATTTTGAGAGGAACGGAGTAATAAAAAAGAAAGTGTACAGCAATTTGCCCATTATTCAAACTTGAAGGGCAAAATTGACTATCCGAGAGCTCGAAAAGCGAAGATTATTAGTGCGTAATGCGATTCGCACCGATCTTTCCTATTATTCACCCGAGTGGAATAGGGTATCTTCCTTCTTCGTCACCTCTGCATAAAAGCATCTTTTTAATCCAGAAAGGTGAAGATTTTAAACATAAAAGCTAAGAGAACAGATTTGTGGGGTTTGTTGGTTAAAACACTATCCTGAATTGAATCTGATTTCTGTCCAAGCTTTAAAAAAAAAAGGAGATCTCGAGGCATGTATTTTCAGGTGTACCACTGTCATGTTTCTTTTTTTGAGCAAACCATTGTGTCATGTTTGATTGTTTCTTTTTTGCTATTAGGATGTTAGTGGTCACGTTGATTTATTGGGTCACCTTATATGTTAATGGTAGAGACCACAAAATATAATTTTCATAATTTTTAAAATGATTTGAATTATTTATGTTATTATTAGATACAATTTTTTTAAAAAATTCAAATACATTAATACATGTGGGTCATAGGGTCCTCGTTTATGGGGGTTTCAAATATTTTCCATATGTTTGTTTGAATTGAGAGACCAGAGAAATTAAAATATATTAAAAAAAAACTTATGTATTTAATATTAGATTGATTTTTTTTGTTCAAATTCAAATTTTAATTTGAAGGATTCATGAAATGCATTATGAGTCTCGTTTTAATAATTCAAACTATTCATTTTGTAGGATCAGTGTATATTATTCATGGAAAAAATTAACATGATTTAATAATTGTAATATTTTTATTTTTTCATGCTTGTCTTCGAAAAGCAGACTTAAGTATGTTTTTAAAAATAGATTATCTGATTTTTTTAAAGGCAAACCCAATAAAATAAAAAATTACAATTATTGAATTGATTTGGTTTTTTATTATTAAAGATATATACCAATAATCTTACAAAATTAACTATTCAAATGATTAAAATGAGATTCGTGATGAGTTTTTATGGACCTCTAAGCCTATGTTTGGGAAGTTGGGTCTGAGAATTTTTTGGTTAAAATAGTCACAAAAAATAAAATAGGCTTTTTAGATTAATAAGACAAAACATTACATTTAATTTATAATCATTATATTCTTTCTCTCACAAAAAAGTTAAAAAAGTCAAAAGTCCTTCCCAAATTAGACTTTTTAGCCCTAGGCTAAAATAGTTAAAAAAATCAAAATGTCAAAAAACTAATTAATTTCCCAAACGAAGCCTAAAGATTTTTCAAATTCAAATTTGAAAGGAGTTCAACCCGTCACTATTTGCACTGCTTGTTTTAATTTGTATAATTAAAAATAATTAATTATTGAGAAACAAAACAAAAAGTAGAGTAAAAAGCTTTGTTTTTTAATTATTAGTTTTGAGCTTGAAATAGGATGCACTAAGGTTTATTTTGAAAAGTTCATTTTTTTTTTGTTAAAAAGTTAATATAAAAAAATCATGTATGGTTTTGATTTTCAGAAAATATTTTTCAAAAAATTATATATTTTTATTTTCAATATTATTTTGTTTTCAATGATTTTTTTAATATTTTAAGCTCTTTTTTTTTAAAATTTTTGGATACATCTAACATAAATACATAATATTTGTGATTTTTTTTTTTAAAAAAAAATTCACTAAGTACCAAAAAATACAAAACGAAAATTTAAGTATATTTTTCGTATTTTTGTATATTTATCAATTTTTAAAAATATTTTTTACTAATATTTTACTATTTAGATATATCTAAGTAAGGTGCATCTAAAAAAAATTGATTAAAATTTTTAAATTATTCCTTAAAAACAAAAAAATACGGAAAAATAAAAACTAAATTTTCAGAAAATTAAATTTAGAAACACTGAATTATTCTTTCTATTTTTTAATGTATTTTTTTTAAATATTAAAAAAAATATTTAAAAAAATCAACTTTTCGCCTACTTTGGAGACTTGGTTAAAGGTAACAATTGATTTTTAACTTATTTTAGATCACAATATTTCTTTATTTTTTTGTACATTTAAAAAATAAAAAAATAAACTTTTAACTAACATTTAAAAAACAATCATACTAAAGGGTTGTTTGGAATGACTTAAATAAGTGCACTTTTTTGTCTTTTTACGAAAAAATGTGCAGAAAAGTAGAGATATGATGTGATGAAAAAAAGATAAAAAGATAGATTATTTTGATTTATCTCTTTCTTTTTTTATTTGATTGTGGTTAAAAAGTCAATTCATTGGTCAAAAAAGTGAAATTATCAGCATAAAAGTTAAAAAAATTAGGAATAGTATCAAACAAATTATGTTTTTAATAAATCCTTTTTATAGATTTTATTTTAGTCAATTATCTAGAGTTTTAGGAAACTTAAAAAAATGCATTTGAACAATTAAAGTAATCTGGAAGATATATTATTTCGTTTGACAGTGTAGAGCGGTTTGATTTTTAAAAAATAATTGTGTTTATTATTTTTATGTAAGTTTGTTTACTCTTTTATCTCAATACATTCTTATTATGGTGAGGAATAATTTTTTTTTGAAAGTCTATTCAAATAAAAAACTAAAAATATTTAAAATTAAAAGATCTGATGACAGATAATTATATGATTTTCTGCTGCTGTTGGGAGCTAGTAGGATTTATTGTTTGTGATTGGACAAATGAATCCTGGGCCAAGATCAGAAGAAGGTATTGGGGCTTCTTTTGGGAAGAATGGATGGGATAGATTTGGAGTTATTTTAGTCATAAAAAAATAAAATAAATATTTTAGTTTAATAAGATAAAATATCACATTCAACTTATAATTATTATATTATTTCTTTCACAAAAAGTTAAAAAAGTCAAGAAGTCTTTATCCAACGAGGCTTTTTAGTCTCAAATTAAAATAACTAAAAAATCGAAAAACTAAGGTTGCGTTTGGTAGAATTTTGTAATTAAGATTTGAGAGTATGAGTTTTATTTTGAGTTTGTGAATTTTGAAATTATGATTCGAGTGTGAAAAATTTATTTGGTGAAAAAGTTTTGAAAAGAGTTTTGAATTGAGTGAGAATTTTTTAATATGACATATGATATTTGATACAAAAACTTACAAGTTATAATCAAACATACAACTCAATTATATTAAATCACATAAAAAAAATTTAAAGATTCGGAATTTTTTTTTTGAATATATAAAAATTAACATGTCAATTGCAAAAAAAAAAAAAAAAAAATTACATTGTTTCGATCAACCAGCCGGACGATTGGTTAAGGCCAAATTTGAAAAAAAAAAAATTGAAAATCGCGCCTAAGACAGGAGTTTTTTGCGGAGTTTTCTCTTGATTGTGGAAATACAATTTGAGAGTAGGAACCAAACATGAAATTAAAATATATGGATAAAATTATATTTCCAAAACCGCTCCAGACAGAGCCTAACCCACTTTTCAAACGAAACTTTGTCTTGAAACATTGTTCCATATCTTACTTGGGGTTTTTTGGGAAGATGGTAAAAAGTGGTTTTTTGGCTTTTAACCAAGCTTTTGGCTTTTTTAGACAAATGATTTGGAAAGTTGGTAAAAAGTGACTTTTGACTTTTTTGATTAATATTTGTTTATGATGTCAAATCATAATAAAATGACTAAACTACCCCCATTTATTTAAAATATTTACAACTAAATCTATGTAACACATTGTGACCTATGAGGGGTAAAATTGTAATTTCACCGTTGGCTAAAAACTAACTTGCCAAATGAAAAAAAAAGCCAAAAAAGTCAACTTTTGGCTTTTGCTACTAACAAAAAAAAGTAACTTTTAGCCAAGTTCCCAAAATAGCCCTTAAGGTTAAAAATTTGCCCATTTGTCTCCACAATCGATATATCAAAGTGGTAGGGTTCATTCAGGTTTGGTTTGACATCTTAAAAAAAAGGTTAAAAAGTTAAAAAGTCATTATTTTATTTAAGTCACATCATATTTCTACTACATCACTTCAAACCTAACTCATATTTCATAAAAAATTAAAAGTATACTTATTTAGACATTCTAAACAATTTCTAATTATTTAAACCAATTATATATATAATTTGGAGCACCACATGCTTTGTCCTGGAGCAGAGTACAATTCTCCAAGAACAGTCCTTGTTCCTTTTCTGAAAGTAACAATGGTAGGGGAATAATATAGGGAAAATGTAATTTAGGGGTTTTTGGGAACACATTAAAAAAGTCAATTTTTTGAGTTTTTAAATTTTTTTAGTTAAAAAAATCAGTTTTTTTAATCTAAAATAACCCAATTTTTTGTCAAAAAAGTCAAAAAAGTTTTTTTACTAACTTGCCAGAACATCACTTAATGTAGATTTAGAAAATAAATTATTCATCAATGTAGATTTCATAAATATTAATAATTAAAATTTTAAATTTTTTCATGAATCTATAATTTTTTTTTCTTCAAAAACCACTAAATTCTAATTCTTCCAATAATACATCACTGTATATTTTTTATGAAAAAAATTTAGATTAATCATAAAATTTATAAATTTTAATTATTAAGATTGTAAATTTTTCTATGTCTATATAATTATTTTTTGAAAATAAAACTGATTTGTAATTTCCCGATAATTGTATCAAGGTTAGTTAAAATGGTAAACAACATTCCCCACAATGTGTGCGACCGAATTAATTCAGAGAAGTTAAATCATAATTTATTACTATTATACATTGTGAAAATACTATTAACTAACATGAAAAATAGTTAAACGTCATCACATTGTGGGTGTTTAGGAAGTGAATTTTTTGTAAGTTTTTTTAGTTGTAGGATATTATTGGAGAAATTTTATTTTGTGTTTGGGAAGATAGTTGGATTTTTTTGTGGTTGGATGTGATATTTGTGAAAGAAAAAGTGAAATGATTATGGAGTTTGATGTGATATTTTGTTTGGATTTATTTTTTTTTAGTTTTGTAACCAATTTGCCTTTTAGTGAAAAAAACAAAAAAAAAAAAAACCAAAAAACCTCTTTTCCAAACAGCACCATTATACATTATGAAATATTAATAAAATAAAAATTATTAAAGTAACTTTCATAAAATTAGACGGTAATCTCATTATATATTTAATAAATATTTATGAAATATAGAAGCATTAATTGAATTTTTCAATACTTGAAAGGCCATGCCACCTGCCTCAAATTTTTTTCCACCCCTTCTCTCAGGAGTCAGGATTTTCTGATGGAATTTTTCATCGAGTGATAAGATTAGTAAGCACGTCTTCAACACAGATAATAGGCTCATTGCATGGTGTGCTTATGAATTTCTTTGTCTTTTGTTGATTGTATTATTCACGCATGTGTTAAATTCTGTGAGTTGCCCTTTTTCAGATGGAGCAACAGATTCATCAACTAGGAAGCAGCAGTGGTGGGAGCAGCATCAGTGGCAGAGGTGTTGGTAGGCATCATGTTGGTGGTGGTGGGGGGCAATGGAAACCTGCCTTACAGAGCATTGCAGAAGTTGGAACTTGAAAACCCACACTCCTCTCTTATTTCTCCATCATGTCCCATCCCAATCCCCCCTCTCTCACTTTCTTACCCTCCCACCAATAAATACAATTATAAACCCTTCCTTTCTCTTCTTTTCATACTGTTTTTTTTTTTTCGACACTTGTTTCAGTCTCTTAGACCTAGGGTTTGTTTTGTCCTTGTGCTTGCGGATGATTTTACTGTGATATATAATTAACCCTTCTCCTAATTGTGTAATTAACTAGTAATGTTACAAATTAATTTTTTTTATTTATAGAAAAAGTGTGCAAACTACAGTGCTCGTCAGTGTGAGTGTAAGCCCAATACACTCATTTAGGCTCCGTTTGAGAAGATAGGTTGTGGGTTTTTTTAGCTATTTTAGCCATAAAAGACAAAATAGACTATTTTAGTCACAACAAACAAAATATCACATCCAACCCATAATTATTACACTATTCTCTCAAAAAAAGTCAAAAAACCCAAAAAATCAAAAAATCCTTCCCAAATCAAGCTTTTTAACCCAGACTAAAATAGTCAAAAAAGTCAAAAAGTTAAAAAACTTCTCAAACCAACCCTAAAGATGGATGTCGTGCCTCTTGCACTGTATTTTGTGCAATTTTCTTCTTTTTTAATAATATTTTTTACTATTATTGGTAATTAACATTTAATTTGATAAAATTATTAAAAATACTCAAAATACCATAAGGTACCTATGTGGTATTTTTAGTCAGCTAAAAATCATAACACTAAGTTTAAGAAAAAAAAGTGACCTACCTAACTTTTTTGTATCATTTTTAGTGCAAGAAATTTACAGTTAAACAATGGAGAAATTTACATTATGCATCCTTTTAAATAATACACATTGTAAATGATCATGAATGCGATGCCCCTTGTATGGGTGGCAGAGTGGATTGGGTGCATGGTGACTCCTTGGTCAGGAGTTCAAGTCCCAGGGAACACAAAAGAATTATTTTTTTGGGTCAAGGCGCTGACTTTTGGCGACCAACTTATCTTTGGTCGCTAAAAGTTTACTTTTGGCTAATATGAATTGGACTTTTCGCGACCAAAAAAGTTGGTCGCCAATGGTCACTTTTTTTGGTCGCTAAAAGTTCCCTTTTGGCTAATATGAATTGGACTTTCCGCGACAAAAAAAGTTGGTCACGAATAGTCACTTTTAATGACCAAAGGCTTTTGGTCGCAGAAAACTATCTGTCACGAGGCTTTAGCGACCAACTCGCGACCGACGTATTTTGGTCGCGAAAAGGTTTTAGCGACCAAATATGGTACTTTTCACGACCAAACATGTTCGTCACGGAAAGAGTTTTTTCTTGTAGTGATTGGTTAAACTTCACATAGCAAAATGAAAGGAGTAGATGATTCTGCAACCTCTCAGATCAGTAAACCTGTCTGTTCTAGTTATACTCATCTTCCTGAAGAAGATATTGTTTCCCAGGATTCACCAACACAAACTGACTTTGAAGTCATACCTCCAATAAACCCCCAATTATTAACTATTAGTAGACCTTTTGTTCCAGACTTAAATAAATCACATACTGAATTTAAATCTAAAAATAATAAAATCAAATGCCAAGCTTATAGACTTAAATATGATCCTAACCAACAATCCAAAATTACTCACAAATGATATAAATTTATGACTGAACATAGTATAGAAGTTCCTTTCTTTGAATACTTAGAAAATTATTACAAAAAATTTAATACAATTACAAAAACCAAATGGAAAACTTCTTCTAATACTACTGTTAGTTCTAGTCATCCTCCTCTAGCCACCATAATTATAGAACACCAAGGTTCTGTTATAAACGCTTCTCTATTTAAGTTAGCTGGAAATGACACTGAATTAAAAAAAAGTTATTGAACAAAAAAATTATACTAATCAATGTTTAAAAACAATTGGTAAACAATTAGATAAAATAGAAACTAATTTAGATGAATATATGCCTAGTCATTCCTCCAAAGAACCTTTAGAAAAACCTTTAATTAATTTACCTAGTCAACGTTCCAAAAGAGATAATTTGGTTACTTAGGATAGTTCTACTCTTAAAATCATAGAACAATTATTCACTAAGTTAGCCTCTCCTTCAAATGAAAAAGTCGTTTCTCCTTCAATTGAAAAATGTCTTACTGTATTAAACCAACAACTTACTCTAGATATTATTTCTGATCAATCAGAAACCGACACATCCGACAATGAAATTAATCTTTTAACTCAACAATTTCAATTTTCTAATCTTAATCGAATTACTTATCCTAAACTAAATCCAACAACTCTTACAAAAAATTGGTACTCTAGACCTACTCCCCCTAATCTCCAATATGAAGAAACCAATCTTAATAATCAATTTTGTTTCTGCTAAAAAACTATATGAATGGAATATAGATGGTCTTAGTGAAGATCAAATCCTCCAAAAATTAAACCATTTATCCATGGTCGCCACTAGTTATCTTAGTAACTATCCAGATTATACTCAACCTGAAATTGTTTCATTAATAACCTCTGGTTTTACTGGCATGTTAAAATCTTGGTGGGAAAAATATCTCACTGAAGATCAAAGAGAGTCTATTTTACATGCAAGTCAAAAAGATGAAAACGATTTACCCATATTTGACGAAACAATTGACTATTATAAACCAGATGGAATCAATACCCTAATTTATACTATAGTTAGACATTTTATTGGCACACCTACTAATATTTATTCTAGAATACATGATCAACTTAGTAATCTTACTTGTCCAGCATTAAGTGATTTTAGATGGTACAAAGATGTTTTTACCTCCCGAGTCATGCTCAGGGAAGTTAGTACTAAATCATTTTGGAAAGAGAAATTCATTAATGGTTTACCTAGTTTTTTTGCTCATAAAATTAGAGATGTCCTTAGTCAACCTACTGGTGTAATCGAATATGTTGAGCATGAATATTGACTGGGAATTCTGCTTGAACTTGTTCAATAATTCGTGGAATCTTGAAATTATCCCATCATTTAACAAAGTGTTGACGAAAGATTATGTCATCAGAAATAGCATATTGCCATTTAAATATCCATGGGACCTTGTATTTGGATATAAAAATGAGCAATGTAGGGAATTTCTTTTGTTGTGGACTGAATGAAAAAACAGTAGAAAAATAGTTGATTTGTTCAATCAAAATAGAGGGGAAGATATCTTCAATAGCCCCATATTGAGTCCACCATCGGAGAAAACAAGTGGGGAATTCTGACTTGAATTTATGATCAAATTGAAAGAACCAAGAGTGACTGTTTAATTCATATTGATACATGAGACCTTTGAACCAAGCGTCAATATAATCATAATAACTATATTGAATTGTATGATCAGGTAAATTTCAAAGTTGAAAAGGAGGACCCCATTCATTCAAAGAGACTATATTATAAATATACAATGAATGGTATACAATTTTACTGGTGTAAGTCTGATCATAGATAGGTTTAATAACAATGGCCTGATGGTTGAATAGGATATCTTTGTAGTAGGTGATTGATTTTTCTGGATGAAAAGGAGCAAAATGCTATCCAGGAGGAAAATAGGATTTAACTAGATCAAGAACTGTATGATTTTTTGAGTGACTTGGTTCTTTGAAGAAGAGATTAGTTGTATGAGATTTAACATAATCAGAACGGGCTGATTTAATAGGGTTAGGAGAGTAAGGAGTAACTGACTGAGAGGAAAAGGCGAAAAGGTCAGTAGCCAAAGCAGAGGTATAACTAGGTTTAGGAATATTACCAAGAGCTTGGTAACGATTGACTAATTCAGCAGGGTGATAATGGGTGACTAATTCCAAAGGAGGAACTGGTTGACTAGAAGGAACAAGAGCCTTACTAGAAGGTCTCAAAGGTCTCTGAGCAGACATCTGTAAAATAGGTGGACATGACGGAAATTAAGCTAATGATTGGTTTGTCATGTTGTGGTTTAGTATCTTTGTTAATTAGTGATGATTTTAATTTGTCAGTATATTTTTGTTTTAATTCAGGATCATTTAATTTACTAATTAATTCAATAAGAGCAGTTTCTTCTTAATGTTGTTTAGTAAGGACAGTGTGATAACCCTGGTCCGTGTTATGCTAATTAATCTCGATTATGATTGTGATTATATGTTTGATATGATTTTGAGTGCCATTTATATAAATATATGTGATTTTGAATTTCTATCTGTTCACCGTAGAAAAATCTACTTCATTATCTGCTTTAGAATTTAAATTGAAGGCCTTATCGGCCACAGAAACCGAAATTGATTATGCCATTGTGATTAGCGTAATTTTTATAGCCTATAGTGAAATTTAATTAGAAATTGGTTTGGATCAAAATAATTAGATTAAATTGATTGAATTTGGTACAATTAATTAGCCCAATCAAGTCTAATTAGATGAGCCTATAAATAGGCCCTTAAACACTTAAGTCCCCCATTTTTTGTGAACTCAAAATCTGAATTTGCTCTCTAGAGAGAGAGAGTGTATGGATTCTAGAGAGAGAAAGAGGGAGAATTGTGCATTTTGACTCAAAGATTGTGGATTGGGAAGCTACACTCAAGAATTAACAAGAATTTGTGAAGATTAAAGCTCCTAGGTGACTAACCAACCCTTAATTCATGGGTTTGAGTTTGTAACCATATGATTTCAAAAAGAATAGGTGACCAAGAACAAGAATTGTGTTATAATTGATGAATTTGAAGTTAATATGCACATGCATGTATAGAATTACCATGATTTTGCATAATCAAGCATGTATCAAGTTGAATATGGGAATATGAGTATTAAAGCATACATGCAAGCATAGTTTTGTTGATTTTCATGGTTATGAGCATCATTGGTGCTATTTGAAATGGAATTGGGGTCAAAGACTAACATGCATGTTGAATTGGTAGAGATATGAATTTTGGATGAAGTTTGAATGCATGGGTTTGATCATACAAAAGAAATGAGGATTTATTTGAGAATTAGATTGTGATTTTGAACAAATTGGTCCCATACACTTATATTCTCATGTGGTATAATGTATTTGCATGTTTTGAACCAAAATCATGAGTTTTGGACCTTTGAAGGTCGAGTTTGAGCTTTAAGAACAGTTCTGGAAAACCCAGAATTCATGAAGTCCGCTCGAGCGGGGGGAACCGTTGCTCGATCGTGAAATGTGAGCTCCCAGAACTTTTGTAGACTTTGGTGTCCGCTCGAGCGAGGATATTCACGCTCG